AGCAATCGTCGATCTCGACCCGTTGTAGCTGGCGCCTTTGGCGCTCCTGAAGATGCTGCATTGGCGGAGACTGATCCAGGGTCGTTCTTGGCGCGCCGTCTGTGTGCTTCGAATGGTGAGAGGGTGAGGGCAAAGAGGTAGGGATCGCTGGCTATTTGGGTCAGGGTGGCTGTAAAGGCCACTGTGGTCGCAAATGCCGGACTGACGAGCTTTTGAGCAGAGATGGATTGCAGACCCATGCTAAACGCTGTCAAGACTATCACACCAGGATAGTACCTGAAGGAGGGCGCTTCATCTTCCGGACGTGATAGCAGAATGCCCGCTGCACCCCACAGGGAGATGGACTGAATCAGCGCAGTTGTCACTTGCCAAGCGCGCCTCCTGTCCCCGAAGCGTCGGCCGCCCAATGCGCCCAAAAATGAGCCCAGCAGGAAGGAAAGGATGGACAACACTCGCTCGAGCGTCAGGAGAGGAAACTTTTCTGCTTGGGGCAGCATCCACTGGGCGCTGGTAGCGGAAGTCGCGTGTGTGAAGGACAAGCGGTTAGCATAGATGTGCCTCCGTCGAAGCAATCGATGGCGACGCACATGTTTTGAGAGAATTGCACCATATTCCCTGTTTGGAAACCTGTCCAGACCTGGCTCCTACTGTACACCAGCGCATCCACCATCCCGGTCAGCAATGCCATCCAAGCGAGTGGGACGGATGCCGCATCGTGGGAGATCTGCTGGTTGAGTCTATGATGCAGGCCATGAGAAAGTGAGGGACCAGCATCAGCGCGCTGCGCCCGCCCAATCTTCTTCCAGACACGATGCTCTCTCTCTCTCTCCTCCTCCTCTCCTCTGCTCACAATCTCGTCATCCTCCTGGTGAGATTGCCTGCACCGCCTCTTCCCACCGCTTGCCCAGGCTCCTGCACTGGCCCGCTACCAGCCCGTTCTTTGCCAACTTGGGGCGAATTAGCTCCTGTCCTCGCTGCATTGTTCAGTAGCGTATTGGGACTTTGATGTCCATCTTTGCTGCTGGAAGCCTTTGAAGAAGGACCAACAGCTTCGAGCGTATTGCTAGAACCTTGAATTTGGTCCTTGATTGCCTGAGGCGTTTCTTGAACCTCGCCATGCGCTCCGCGCACCGGGTCCGAAGGAATGGCAGTGGGATTCGGCGCTGCGGACGGCATGATGGCGAGACTGCAATGCTTGTAGGATGCGGATTAGGAGGATTGGCAATCGTGAATGCTGTGGCG